TCTCTCTCTCTCTCTCTCTCTCTCTCTCGGAGTGTTGGCGTGGTTCCCGGCCCATCTGCGGCCTGGCCCGTGGATTACTGTTTGTTAATGTTTCAATCAGCTGTGTGTTGAGGAATGTGGAGCTATTTAACCTGAACTTCCCCAGGTGTGCCGAGGCGCCGCTCAGTCTGGGCCCCGCCGCCCTCCCCTGCCCTTGGCACAAAGCTATCACACAAACACAATCACACACTGGCCAGGCCGGGGCTGCAGCTGTGCGCATCGCACCGCAGGGAAATGGGAAAAACATTGCACCAGGGAGACAGAATAAATCTTATAACGAATCGCTTCGCCAAAGCCATTTTAACCCCTGCGGTGCCGGGGGAGAGACTGAAACTGCTGATTTATACGATAACATATTGAAACACCATATTTAAATGGCTGTTTTATGGAGTTAAACAAACTTTTGAATCGTATTCATTTCAGCTTGTCCTGCCTAATAAACCAGTTATCTTGTTTTATTTACTTAATTCATTTGTAAATTGAATGTAGAATTGGAAAAAAAAACACGTTTTGTCATGACTGCGATTGTTTTATTTAATCCTAAACTTAATTTCAAACTGCCTCAATTTGTCAAGATCTTTAGACTTGACGATTTAACGTGAGACTTCCTCTGGTAATGTGATACGGTAACGACCCATAGAGAGGCAAATTACCAATTTAACTGGCTGGGAGCCATTTATTGACCTCCAGCTTTAGTTTCGTGTTTCAAAGACTTAACAGCTCCTTCTAGGTGTAGCACTTTTTTTTATTGACAACCACTTCGCACTCCCTTAGTACTCAAGTCAGCGTCAAGATAAGCCATTCCTATGAATATGGGTAGGTCTGCTATTAATCACAGGAATAATACGTCTATAACAGCCCATAACAACCACCAGATTGTGTCATGTTTCACGTCTAGTGTTTTCAGAGAAATCAAAACTGAGAATCTCCTGATAGTTGTTGTGATGCAGCAACTAATAACTTTCTCTTTCTCTCACACACACACACACACACACACACACACACACACACACACACACACACACACCAGGACACAGATGAGGTCTTGTTCAAAAATAATTGTCTTGTTTTAATAAAAACACGAATAAGGTACATTGTAAGAAAACAATATTTTCACATACTGTGGCATTGTAATATACAATACAGTTTTGTCGCTCAGGAATCTGAGAAATTTACTTTTTTATCTTTCACAAAATGTTGAACATCTCTACATGGTTTACACAAAGATACAAAGAGCGTAACAGAAACATTAGCTTTCTTTAGAAACTCTACAAGCAACGAGCGATGCTGGTTGCACTGAACATGTCTTGGTCCCCCGGCTAACCCAGTCTATATCTGGACACCGCCGGTCTTCTTCTTCATTCTCTCAGGGCCCTCTGATGAATCGAGAGCCTCGAGTGACAGAGATCCTCGTCGTCGGAGGATGTCCACACAACGTCTAGTATTGGGAGTTTGAAACGTCCCTACATAGTTCAAGGTTTATTTTTTAATAGATGTGGTTGAGAAGTCACATCAGATAGCCTTGTTCGTTCTTCGCAGTGCGCGCTATGGGTTGATGGTGCGATGCTCCACGAGCTCTTAGCGGCACATAATCCTGTCGTCTGAGCATCCATTCTGCAGAGGGGGAAAGGAAAACAATAGTTGATTAGTACATTTGCTTTACATGGATATGAAGCAAACCGGTGCGTAAAAACAACGTTTACGCACGGCCATGGCATTTTTACGCACGCGTACTGACGTTCAAACACACCGAACAATCACACTGAACCACTCTCGGGTTTATTCTGCAGTATATGTGGAGAGATGTTTACCTCCACTGCGATGCTAGCGATCTCTGCGTTCAGAGTGGTCAGCGGTGTGCGCGTGACGCTGCTGGCGGCGTGATGGCGGCTCTTCTCCGGCTCGTCGAGCTCGACCTGCAGGTCCCAGATGTAGTCGATGACGTGCTGCAGGATCTCCACTTTGCTGGCCTTCTTGTTGGTGGGCAGCGTGGGCACGAGCTCCTTTAATTTGCTGTAGCAGCTGTTCATGTCGTGAAGGAAGGCGCTCATCTGCTCGTCCAGCAGCGGAATCTTGCACTTGGCGATGCTCAAGCTCTGCTCGGACAGGCAGCGCACCATTTCCTCTCCGCCGACCTTGCTCTTCAGGGCGCAGGTAGATCCGACAACCTTCATGATTAGTGTAGAAAGTGTAGTTTCCAAAGATGCCGAGGGAATGCAATAAAGTAGTTGAGCAATGAGGCTTCTCCTCCTCTTAAAAGATCTTGGCAAGATTATGTTGACAGTTCGCAACATCCACATGGGTAAGCCTCCTCGTCTTTATAGCAGAGCAGCAGTCGGGGGCGTGCCAGATCCGTCCTGTTTGAAGACAGCAGGCCAATGAGACGGCAGCGTTTGTATTGATGGGTCGGTCCACAACAGCGCTCTGAGCCAATGACAGCTCTCGCCTGGTTATCGGGATTTACAATCTGTTTGAGGGATGGCGTTACAAATGGAAACAAATGTGTGTCTTTTATGGGTAATATGTGGGAATCCAGCTGTCCATGGCTTGGGGACTCTGCAGGTGTAGATAGCCTGGGGACAGCTAAGGGGTGGTGAATGCCGGGGTAGGCACTGTGAGAATGTGTGTGGGATGGGACAGGATGAATAGGATGAATGGCTAATGATAATTAGGCTGCCACCGTGCCCCAGATTTGCCTCTCACAATTGCTGCAGATGTGGATGACAATAGTACAGTCAAATAAGACAATTGGATGCATAGAGTGGCCAAACAATTATGGGAAAACATTCACTTTTTGTTAACTTTAATTAGTTCAGGATGATGAAGTTTGTGTAGGAAAAAAAGCTGTATTTTGTATAACAGTGTGGAATGCTAAAGAGATTGGCATCTTATTCAACTTATTTGAGGACAGATTGTTGATTGTTTTAGAAAATATGCTGCGAACCTAATTCCCACACCACTTCTCTCTCCCAGGACAACATCTCTGCTTTTTTTCTTTTTTTTTAAACTCAAAGCTCCCTTTATGCTCACAAACTGCACTTTTTTTTCTTGCAGCACAGACTCTCCTTTTCCTGGTTCCTTGTGCTGAAGGAAGCCCAGTGTGAGCAGCAGCTTCACGGATTCCTTCACATGTTTCTGCAGTGTGTGCTCAGCCTTGTGTGCACACTCAGATCGCATCGCTCTGTTCCGAATCTTCCCCCCAGATTGTCCAAACAAGCCCGAGCAGACTGGCAGGCGCCAGCGCGGTGACGTCACCCATTCATCCGAGCCTTGACGCCTGTCAGCCTGGCGCCGCTCGGGCGGTCTCCATGGAGACGTCAAACAAGAGGGCTCGCACTCCGCACTCCTCCATTCACCTGCGTGGCGCGCGGAGACCCTGAGAACAAACCGGCTCCGGAGCTTTGTCGTTCATTTATCACTTTAAAGCAGCGGGGTGAGATTACCGCCCAGCGCACCTGCAGAGCCCGGGCTGTCAGAGGAGGGGAGAGGCTTCGCCATTATGTTGTTGCCGCACTTTTACACAAAATAACTGTCGCATTCCACCACATCGCCCTTTGACTTCTGCATGTCACATGTGGTTACTTAAAAACTTATTTTTTTAATCATTTGATTCCATGCATTTTATTTGCAGTTATGCAGTTTACACCTTTTTCCAACATGATCATGTATTATATCAAATAGTGTGGACTACATCATGCATTCAATTAATAAAAGTTATTTAAATATTATTCAATTATTTTTTTAGGAATAACAAAATAAGTGAATGCAAATCCCATTTGTATTACTTAATTTATTGACTTATTACTTAAATTAACTGAAAAAAAAGTTTTTCCTCTATGATATTGCAGCAGCTAATAAGTGGAAGAAGTATATTAGGATCCCGTACTCAAGTAAAAGTATAAATGCTAAAATGAACTCTCCGTAAGTTGCTATCGTTCCAAAACGTAGTTCAATAAAATTCTTGAATATTATAAGCAAAATGTGCTAAAAGTGTGAAAAGTTTCAACACTCATTAATTAAGACTATGGATCCTGTCTGTCATGTTATTGTTTCTTAAATAATTAGATGACTGATCTAACGTGTGCCACGTATTTTAAACGTTGTAGCTGGCCAATGTGAAGCTATTCTTCATATTTTGAACTGATCTGAATGCTAATCTATAGCATTCCATCACATCAGAATATTTTAAGTAACCAGTAACTTTAGTTGTGAAATACAGTAAAAAAAAGTAGTTTTGTCCTCTGAAATCTAATGAAGTAGAAGTATAAAGTAGCATAAAATAGAAATAATTAAGTAAAGTTGAAGAACCTCAAAACTTGTAACTAAGCACATTACTTGAGTAAATTAGTAACATTCCACCACTGTATAAGACCATATGTTATGCTTATAAACGAAGTCTTGCATTTAGGATCAGAAACGTACCAGTTAATAAATGCATGTTTTTGCAAATTTTAGATTTAGTTTATAGAGCATCATTAATATTCTAGGTATTGAACTGACCGACGCGCTGCACAGTTTTCCATCACGTTTTAAAATCATTTGCATATTGAGGGACTTCAAAACAGCTTGTTCTCTTCACATTTTAATACAAATGCCATTTAAAGAGCCCCTTTCTTATATCGGCACAGATGTTGTACCAGACCCAAGATAACATCGGTATTGCTTCGCTGTCTTGTAACAAAGTTAACTACCACCGGGCTCGTTTCTTCTCACTGTCACAGAAGCCTGTAAAAACTTTTTAAGAAACTTTCTTCTTTTTTTTTTCTCTTTCTCTTTTTTTGCCCTCTGTCCTAGGTCGCAGCTGACAGGGCGGAGAGGGGAGAGGGGGTAGGGGGGGTGGTTGGGCAGAACAATGGGAGTGCGGTGCAGGGATTGTGGGAGAGAATCTAGGCTGGAGCCACAGTGTCTGGAGCGCCCCTCCACTCCCCTCATCCAGCTTTTGTTCAGCTGCAAAAGCTATCAGCACTTCCTACTGACACCAACAATAACTCCACACAGCTGGGCCCTTTTTAGCCTGTTTACAGCACATCAAGGCGAGGGGAGAGGGAAGACAGAGGGAAGAGGCAGAGGAGGGGAAAGAAAAGTGAAACATATTAGCTCCTGATTTTAACTGACAGAATGGCAGTGCCCTTTCCCAGCTCCCCTTTCCCTCCTCCATCGCTGACACAGAATTCACCTCCCAGCGGACTCATTACACGAGAGCCGATTATCACTTGCTATTTTATTGCTGCGACAGGCTACTGTTTGTGACAGTGCTGTTGCAACGTCCTGCATGCAGAAAAAGCAACACTTGTCTTTCTTTTGTTCAGGACATTGTGCTATATTTGTTCCAGCACACAAACCGTTTCCCAGTAGTGTTTTTCAGGATAAATTGTTCCATTTGGGGGAGAGGAAACGTTATTAGCTGATACGCCCTCTTTATCGCCACAGCAAATAGATCTACAAAAGCACACTTACAGGAAGCTGGTGCGGGAATTCACTCAGAGGAAATTCCAGAAATGCTTTCACACTTTTGCTGCTGTTATTATTGCTGCGGGGACAATAAGTAGTGTGCTTACTACTTCCTGAAACATGAAAGTGACCGAAGCACAATAATGGTAGAGGAGAATAAATGGTTTTCTTAGACGGAGGATTTCACTTCAGCATGATTATTGAGAGGCACTGATGAAAAGAAATGGTCAGGAATTTGATTATGAGAGGAGAGCTCCACATGCAAGTTTTCAACAATTGTTACTGACATGCACACAAACACACACACACACACACACACACACACGCACACATGGGCCATCTCCTCGCAGCTGTGGGATTAGTTTCCAGTTCCCTGTCACGCTCTTCCTGTTTGCTTGATAATGATCACACCTGTGTGCAGGTGTGTGGAGAGGCTCACATGGGACTGGGAGGGGTGATTGCGGTGTCGGATACAAAAGCATTTGCTACACCACAGCGTCACATCTCTATTCACAAGCTGAGTGATGATTGACTGGTGGACGTCCAAGACTCATCAGTCACAGGTTCAGGTGGAGGAAGTTTGCGCTGAATGGGAGGTTTTGTATACTGTGTGTGTCACGGCTTCTGTGGGTGTGCGTTGTGTATGTTTTCTGCCCTGGATTCCTGGTATGTCCCCGCCGTGGCCTGGCACCTCCCTGGGCCGCCCACCCTCTGTAATGACTGAGGACCGGTGGTTGGGAGTCACTTCCTGTGGGAGTCCTGGTTCAAAGATGTGTCATCAGCAGCACAGACCGGCTGGAGCCTTCGCTGCCTGGTTGGTGTTTTTCCTGTGTGCAGGCAGCAGACTGGGTGGGTGGATAGATGCCCTTCCCTGAAAGCCAGGGGCAAGTTACAGGAACACTATCTCCATCGGATAGTTGATGTGCGGCAAAGCCTCACAGAGATCCTTGAAGCCCCACAGGTGTCCTCTGCTCTGTGTCCTTGGCCCGGGAGGACTCGCAGGGACAGCTTGGTCTCTCTCTATCTCCTTCTCTCTCGCGCGTTTATGTGTGCGCATTCACCGGACCCAGAGCTCACCCCTCCTTTACACCCCTGTGGCCATCTCCCTCTGCCTGGTTCCCACACACACTATCAAAGCCCTTTAATGGCTTCTAATTAGCTCCCCATCTGCTGGTGACAGCGCACTGGTGGCATGCTAAAGCACCCATTGAGAGCATAGGCATTGTGCTCTGGAATACTTTCCACTCCAGTGGCAATTGCCTGGAGAGAGAGCTTTAGTTGGGGGTGTGGGGTGCTGGGGTGAGGCTGGGTGAGGAGGGGGTGAGAGGGAGGAGCAGGAGGGGATCCTGGGTAGTGTTCTTTACAGTCAGGGGCTTGGGGGAGGGCAGGGTTGGAGGGATGCACAATGGGAGACAGTGTTACGGCTTGTTGCAAATCTAATAATGCCAGAGTCTCTTTTCCGTCCACTGGTCATCACCACCCCCCCCACACCACACCACCACCACCACTACCAGAAGCAACTATTTCACAACCCCACCTCACCCCTCCCTCTACTTCTTTCACTTTAGCAACAGTTTGCCGCTGACATCACACAGGGGATGGTCGGTGAGTTACATCTGACTTTGCGCCGAGGCAACGGTGAAACTGGCAACGCAACCTGATGAGGTGCTCCATTGTTCTGAGGAGCCCCCGGGCTATTGCTCCCCTCTTGGACCAAACAATAGGTGCACCTCTATAGAAACTGTAAATGTGGCCTAATGAGGCCTCTTCATTAGCAGAACCTGTCTACGAGTGAATGCGGCCTGTTTGTCAGATCCTATGAGGCCTTCTCCTTTCCAGGACTTCCAGCAGGGCCCAGGGTCCA